CACGACATATCTCAATCAGGAAATAAAAATAGACAATATCAAACTGTTTATTCCTCTAGAGATTATAAAACTCGTATATTCAACACAGGTGTTTTAAATCTATGAAAACAAACGCGAAGGAAAAATAGCTCATAGTACAGCCTGTAATAAGGTTACAGACAAGGTCACGAACAAGTTATGAAATTAAACTAGTTTTGGAGTACTCATCCCTCTCACATTCAAGATCGGTGGTTGACAAAACTGTACATAAAAGAAGCTAGAATGAAAAATCATTCGAAAGATCCCTTGAATGTACATGTATGTCTTGAACAATTGAAACATGACACCGCCCTGTTGGCTGGTAATTCAGACATAATTGTTTAGCAAAATATAGATGTTTAATTTTGTTTTCTAATTCATCAGGGGAACACATAAAAGTAAACTTTTTTTCTTCGTCTTCTAATAAAAAAGCAGTATATTTTTGTATATGTTTTTGTTGTATTTTTGTTCTTATTATGTTATTTTGAAAATTTATCATTTTATCATGCTTTTGTTTTAACGGAAATTTTGACAGTCAATGCGATATATTTATAGTTGTTTTGTTTGTTCTTCTGATTTTGTTACATGTATCTATTGTACCCTTATCAAAGAAATAAGTGCTTTATTTTCAGCTTAATATATTCAAAGTTTGTAAAACTCGAGCGTTTCAGATAACGTGCTGTTTAGACATCTGTCGCCTATTGTTGAAAACTGTATGTCTCCCTGATTTTAGTAAGTTATTTTGTTTTGATGTTGTCTTCTTTTCGTCACATCTAGGTAACACTGTCGTATTCTTATTTTTTTTACATTTAGTCAGCAGGTGTTTGAAAAGTGTAACTACCGACTATAATTAGGTTGCTTGTCCTTTTTTTTTCTCAAAATCTAGAACCCTCCGGATGTTGCATGCCAAGAAATACACTGATTGGTACATATTCATTTCCAATATATCTTCAGTTCAAACGATTTATACCCTTTGTTTTTGTTATTAAAAAAACCTAAAACTTTCAGATAAAAATACTAGTAGTTAAACTACGTACAGACAACTATAAACATCGACCAAACGATAAAGATTTGAACAATTACAGGTCACGATCGGCCTGCACCAATAGTCAAAACACATACCATATACCGTATGTTAGTACACATTTCTAAGTCAGCCATGTTTTAGGTGTATACTCATATTATTATGAATATGGTGTATTTCTTCCCGAGATAACTTCTCACATGTTTACAACCTCTCTCTTATAAAGGTTATTATCGAAAGGTTATCCGGGCAAGTGAACTTTGTCATGTATTACTATAATATTTAACAGATATGAGTTAAATTGCCCTTCTGCGGTCAAAATGTTTGTATTGCTTCAATCAAAAATGAAATATACCAACTTTAAAAATGCAACACTAGATCTTTTTTTTAATTTTCATTTTCAAATATACCATTCTTTTAAAATACGTACCATGAATTTTATTTATTTCTTAATCGTCAAAATAAAGTTTGAAGTTCAGTAATTGCGTTGATTATGTTACGTTTAATGTTCAGATCATATGGTATGCACCGTCAAACTGATATATGATTGACAGACACGTCGAACGGTTTTGAGGGGGTAGTTTTGAGATCAGTTTTGTCAATGTTAATTAAGTATATGACTGGCTGATTACAAATCTGTTTTGCCAATGACGCGGTTAAACCTGTAAACCTATAAATGGTTTGCTGCAATTGATTCGTTTTAGTAGATTGGAAACAATCATAGCGTGAATTGGTCTGCCATGGCGTCCGACGACTTAGTTAGTAGACGTTTCAGTCGTTAATCTGTCTCATAAATGACGTTGTCTAATGATATTTTATTGACGTAGTGTTGTTACTAAAGGTTGGCCTGGGGATGGTTGGTAATTTAACAATCCCGTCTACCTGAACCGTTGTTGTAAAAAGTAATAGGTCCAGCAACAGCAATTTTACCTAGATCAACCTGCAAAAAGTAAAATACTAAAAATACCGAACTCCATGGAAAATTCAAAGCGGAAAGTCCCTTATCAAATGGCAAATTCAAAAGCTCAAACACATCAAACGAATGGAAAACATCTGTAATATTCCTGACTTGGTACATGCATTTCCTTATGTAGAAAGTGTAGATCAAACCTGGTTTTATAGCTGGCTAAACCGCTCTCTTGTATGACAGTCGCATATAATTCCATTATATTGATAACAACGTGTGAGTAAAACAAACAGACATAATATGTAAAAATATCAAAAGTTGGGATACAGCAGTCAACATTGTTTTATTCTTAATCACCATAAAACAAACAACTATGTCAACAGAGAAAAACAAAAAGGCATATAGACACTCTATAGGTTGCAATTCTGTAAACATAGACAATGCCATTTCCCATAGGAACTCCTTTTACGGCTTAAACTGTACCACTTTTACTATGAAGTTTCGTTTCCTAGAATAAAAAGCTCATATGCACTACTATTGTGTTCAAATGTCAAAATATAGGGCTGTTTGGCATATTTTCAACATTTATATGCCCCAACTTCTAAGAGTTTAAACTGATACTAAAATTCGGTACTACCCCTCCCTTCACTTTGGGTCTTCCTCAGATTTCAATTCGGCCGCTATTCATGTGTATCTATGCTGGTAACATTCCCAAGTTATGTCTCTACGAGATGAAACATAGAGATCATATCTGGGAACCAGTAGGTAACCAAAACAACATATCTATGAATAATATATCTCCCCAAAAGAGGCGTGGTTTGTGAAACAGCTGTATAAACAAAGTGCAACCTAAACACAAAGCAAACAAGCAAAATTGAAATACAAGAATACAAAAAAAAAATCATCATAGCACAATAACACAATGGCGGGATGTATAAATACCGAGCCACACCAAAATGATATTACAGAAAAAAATTAAACAGTAAATATCTATGGATTAATATAGATTTCGCTAACTCAAACTCAGCAATATGTAAACTCAACAAAATATTGACTGATCTCTCTGTTGGTATGGATTCAATGAATATGTTACTAAGATAAAAAAAAAACATAACAAAATCATGCATGGTTTCAAATATTGCGTCAAAAAATTCCTGCGACGTCAATTACTCGGTTTATCAAATCATCGCTGATAAGTCAGGTATTGCCTTTTTTCTTATCAGATAAACGCATGATAAGCATGTACTATAAAGATTATTCTTGGATTGATAATTACAGCATAACTAATCGACGTATTTGAATTATAGCAAATAAGACAACACATGCCCGCATGTGTTCTATTTTTTTTATATTCAAATACAGATTAGTTATACTTTTTATTATATAGAAACATAATATCAAAACACTTTTTTTGTGTTACTTTCGTAGGTTGGATTCACTTATTGCATTGTCTATTTTACTGTACTGTATTTTTTGGCGTATAAATATATGTGTATTGCACAAAGTCGGCAAATCGTCACTTCTAGAAGATTGATGAAAATTTTGCAATAATTGCGAAGCAAGAAGTTGTTTTAAAATGCTCCCATATTATCGGCAGATGATAAATGACAAAAATTATCAATTAGTTCTTAGTATTAAGGCGCTTACCTTTAGTTGGAAGTCTCAAGTGAGGGTTATGTACAAGATGGGAAAAGTCTCGAGTGTTCAAATAAACGAGTTATCTCACATGAAAGATTACTGGATTTATCACAATAGGAATTTCATATAAATCATCATCAGTATATAAGAAAACATTGGACATAAATGTGTTTTGCGTTTTTTAAGTTCATCAGTATACTTTGGCAAATCATGACAGTATCTGTTAAATTCCCCTGTCTCTTATTTATAGATTATCTGGCTGGCATACGTGCACAGATGTAGAATGGTGGACATTTATTAAATAATTGAACTAAAACATCTGTAGAGACCATGAAACAACTGAAATGAGTTTTAAACTTTTACCATACAGAGGTTTAAAGATGAAAAAAAAAAAAAAACAGCAACCAAAGATTGCTCCTTGGATTTTTGTTTTGTCAAATTCGTGTCGTTCATTCATTACACAAAACAAACAGAAACATTTTTGTTTTTGTGTACGTTTGCATTTGTTTTAAATACAAGTTTTCTGTAATCTAGTTTCATAACAGGTATAAATTTACACATAATTCTTAGAAGAACTAATTAGATTTTGTGGATTTTCGCGATAGATTTCTGCTTTCATTGCTCTTATCACCACTAAGTACATTTTTTATTTGTATCCAGTTTTCAAGGACATTTAGTGAAAAAAAGATGCAAGGCTTACAGTTTTGCCAGACGCGCGTTTTTTTCTACAAAAGACTCATCAGTGACGCTCGAATCACAAAGTTAAAAAGAAATTGAAGAGCATTGAGGACCCAAATTTGTAATGGTTTTGCCAAATAAACCGAAGGTAATCTATTCATGGGGTTGAAAAGTTTCTTTGATCACCATAATTTTAGAATTTAAAGGAAGTATATTTCAATTGAAAGTCTAAAAACAGATCTATTAAGCAAAATTTCCAATTTCTTATTTGCATATTTAAAGAAAGAACTTTAACGATAAAGTTTTGCAACAAATTAGAACAGTAACAACAAGAGCCGGAATTACTTATTTTACTTTTTTATGTTCTACAATTTGACCTCTTAAATGAAACAATACAATTGAAAACATGTGCAAATTTTCACGATGAATGTTTATACAGAAAAAAGGAAAATAGCGGCAACCATGGAATGACGTATTTCGGTCTGAAAATAAAAATCTTTGTCTGAAAGTCCTGCAAGAGTTATTGTTTCAGAAAATAAAATATATATTACCAAATTTATATCGGTGGTCCGAAATTCTAACTTTAAATCAAAATTAAATAGTCGAAAACTAAAATGCTTATCTATACATGGTTACAGAACAATACATCATAACATTTGAAAATACGCAATATTTCACCGACCGCACTCCTTTATCACAACATAACCATTTTTTATATACAAACAAAAAAGGAAAAAAATTGAACACTATATTACATAAGGAGTAAAATAAATGTTATTTCTTATAGAAATAAATCTCAATTATATTTTAACGACGTGAATTTTGGCATCACCTGCTTCGATGGAGCTAGAGTTGCATCCAATCAATAGAAATCCTTCACTATCCATGCACAGACTCAACGGACGTTTTATTCCAAGATATGTTACAGTTTGTAAGCCAATCAGCTCTCCCTCTGTATTCAATGCATGTAGAGAGTGGTTATTTTTATCGGAGACTATTATGGTATTTGTTTTTGTGATAACAATACCATTTGGATTGAACGGTGTTTGTGGTGTATTGATACTTTTATGACCATTGTATATGAATTTTATACCACCAGATCTTTCTAACGCGACTAAACGTCCTTCTACATTTTCAAATAGATCAATTGCATAGATGTTATAATATGAATCAGTGGATATTCTATCGATATAACTAAACAGTTTTTTTACCCTTTTGATCGTATTCAATCGTTAATTTTCGTTTGTTGTTTTCGTCGAATACAGCAATTTGTCTGGTACAGAATTCTGTGACCGGAAATGGTGGTCCTTGTTCTCGAAGACCTAGAATTATTTCGTTGTCATTATTGATATGTAGGCCCAATATAATCATCGGTGAAGTGCTAAAAACTGTATTTGTTATACCACCAATTGATAAAACTTTTAACTCAGAAGCACGGAACTGTCCATAGTATATTTCATCTTTACTGCCGAGTGCAAAATCAGAACATTCTATATCTAATTCCTGTAATACTTTTATTGATTCCTTCAATAACCGAATAATTAAAAACTTGTATCCGTTCTCATTTGTATTGTACGAGCAGTAAATTGTGTCATTGCCAGAATATTGGATTTTATTGAAAGCAGCAAAATCTGACGCATATGTAGATAGTAGTGACGATATTACTGTTCGGGAAATCTGAGCAGAAATATCACTTTCCTTCTTTCCAATATCTGTTATGAAAATTATAGTATGTGTTTCGGACAATTTAAATCTGGGATGGACACGTTCTTTACAGTTGTCACACATTAATATTGCGCAATCCTTACACTTCCATTTTATAACATTAGGATGGTCACAAAGCTGACAAGACAATGGCGACTGTGCTTTCCTGATGGACGAAGCCATTATGTTTCAAGCAAATTCCTTAAAGTAAATTGTAATACATTTGATAAAAAAACATATTCTACATTATGTCTGAAAAAAGTATTAAGATACCGAACTCCACGGTAAATCAAAAAGGGGGAAGTCCATAAAATCTGACAAGATCAAACGATCGACTGAATTAATCAGAATTTCGGAAAAATGCCTGTTCCAAAAGAGAGAAAACGAGAAAGTCAGGAATATGACAGTTGTTTTTCACTGGTTCTGTTGATTGATAGTGTTTGATTTTTTCACTTTTTATGGACTGCCCCTTTTTGAATTTGATTTGGAGTTCGGTATTTTTGTTGTACTTTTCTACTTATCGATATTGTTAAAGCGAACTAAAGTTCAAACTCGTTAATTCATTTGGAACATTCCAACTAAGAAAAGATAATCCTGAACGATTCACATGTATAGTTAAACTGAGCTAAACTGGATACGTCGAAAATGAAGGCTGTTCCTGTTTTGCATGTGTTATCCGCTATGCCAACCCAAATAATCACAGATGACAAAAGACGAAGTACATTAAGGGGCTAATTTGGCTCTGTAAACTCATCAAAAATAAAAGATTGCCTGATGTCAATACTAATATGTTTTTTAAACACCAGAAGAAAGGCTTTTCAGAGGATGTGAATAATAGCCAAGCCTTGATGACACAATTCGACTGTGACGTCTTTTAGGTAACATTATTAACGAGATTTGTCAGATTTTTAGCCACTATAGGCTAACTGTAAAAACATTTTGACTAAATCATCACAGAGCAGAAGCGTCGCCCAAAATATTTTTGCCAGTGAAAAGATAAACAAAAAATATACTCACTGTTTAAGTATCTTTTTGGGCAACAGTTGTGCTCTAAATTATTTCTAAGCTGTAGAAGCCAAATAGTCTAGCTATTGCATGACTTTGCCATTATACAGAATTTACTGATTTTTTATGGCTGTATAACTCATGAAAAGGGTGTATTTTAAAGCAAAACAGCATTGTTTTTTTTAAAGTGCATACATTCAACAATTGATTTTTAAAATCCGAGATAGTTTGAAATGTACTTGAATTTAGAGCTAAGTTTGCCTTAAATCGTACTTCATCCTTAAAAAAACATAAGCAAACAATTCCAATTATACCGTTACTTGCAATAGCTGAGTACCAAAATACATAAGCTGATGGTATAAAAATAATGAGTTGACTCTTATAGAATCTGTTGTACCTCCTAGTAAATTTCATTAAGTTTCAAGAAGAACAGTAGAGAACAACATTATTTTGTGCAGTTTCCTAAGTAGATTAACGAACAGACTTTTAAGAGGGTCTGGATGGGTGTCCTTCATTTCTGTATTCTTCAATTTTTATGACATTTTTCTCTATTCTTTCAATACACGACAGGAAATAAATGTAACATATCAGTCTTCTATCATACACTTTACTCATATTTTGATACTGGTATCTATGATGAGTTTTTTACAACCACTGGGTCCGACCCGAGAATATCACATGTCCAGTAGTCAGCACTTTGGCGTTGACATTAATTATATATCGATATGGTCATAATTATAAATCAACTGTTTATAAAACTTTGAATTATTCGAAATACTGAGGATTTTTCTACCCCAGGAATAAATTTCCTTAGCTGTATTTGGCAAAACATATCGAAATTTTGGGTCCACAGTGCTCTTTATTTTCGTACTTTTTTTGTCTTTTAACTTTTTTTATTCGAGCGTCACTGATAAGTCCTTTGTAGACGAAATGCATGACTGGCGTACAAAAATTGCAATCCTGGTATCTATAATAGGATAATTTACCAACACAACAAAAAACCTATCACAATTATTCAATACAACTATATCATTATACCTTATTATCTCGTGTTTAGCCAAAAAGAATGCTTACAGCTGTTACCCTTAGTAACATTTGTCATCATTTTAAGTTAATCAAACCTAAATAAATCCAAATGAATAAATTTTACTTAAAGATATCATAGATTAAAACAAATATCTACAGTAAACATCAATACGAAAGCAACCCGACACATTTCCTTTTTAGGAAAACAAGTATATTTATACAGTACTCACTATGACACCAATTTACTTTATCTAAGTGACAAACAACTTCCTTTCGTCTCCGATGTCTAACACGGCTGCTATAAATAGTTTTCTGCCATTAAAATCAATATATGACAAACATCATAATAATTGAAAGGTAGGTTTTTAAAATGAAACAAGGTATTCAATATTTTGATTATGTTGATATATTCGTACTTTAAAAAGTGGTTATTTCGAAATACTAAAGATGTTCTACTCCAGGAATAGTTTACCTGAGCTGTATTTAGCAAAACCGTTCAGAATTTTGGGTCTGCAATACTGAACTTTGTAGACTGGCGTACAAAGTTTTAAAGCTTGTATCTATGATGAGGTTACTTACTTATCCTTTTTTTTGCCATGGCGTTGTCATTTTAAAAATCAAAAACTGTATCTGCATTCAAATATTCATACAAGTCATAATTTTAACAAGGTGTTATATTTGTAAATTTAACCACAATATGTACCATAGTTGTTTTATTTTTGTTAAATGTATATATGTATTGGTAGATTAAATATGTTTTATTCATGTAATTAATGCTGTATCTATTGGGCCTTATTGGGGTTCGTGTTTCTCTTTTCTAGTGTTTTGTATACTGTTGTTTGTCATTTTTTTTTGTCTTGTTCTTTTTTTGCCATGGCGTTGTCAGTTTATTTTCGACTTATGAGTTAAAAGTCGCTTTGGTATTTTTCGCCTATCTTTTGCTGCATTAAACAATATTTATACGTCAACCCGACATATCGGAAACAAGAAATGGACAATGTCAAGCTCTCTTTTTTCCAGAGTCTAGCAGAGGTTATAAAAATCTATACATACTAACTCCAAGGAAAAAAGCTCTCAGTACAGCCTGTAACAAGTTTACAATCAAGATCACGATCGAAGAGTGGAATTGGACTAGTTTAGGAGTACTAGTACTAATCTCTTTCACTTTCTAGATCGGTGGTCAACAAAAATGTACATAAAAGAACATACAACTAAACATTTTTTCCGCGTCTTCTTATAAAACCTCAGTATATATTTTTGTATTTGTTTTTGTTATTTTTGTTCTTATCATGTTTTTTTGAAAACTTATCATTATATCATGCTGCTGTTTGAACGGAAGTTTTGACCGACAATGCGGTATATTTATAACTGTTTTGTTTGTTCTTGCGCTTTTGTTACATGTATCTATTGTACCGTTATTATAGAGGAAAATACTTTATTTTGAAGGTTTCAACTTACATAAATCAAAGTTTTTGAAACTCGAGAGATTACCATAACGTGCGGTTTAGACATCCGTTACTTGTTGAGCAGTGTTTATCGCTCTGTCTTTTAGCTAGTTGTTGTTTCTTGTTGCTGTCTCCTGTTCGTTACATTCAAAATATCACTGTCCTCTTCTTATATTTTGTTAATTTATTCATCAGGTGACGGAAAAGTGTAACTACCGACGATAATTAGGTTTCGTGTCTTTTTTGTTCTCAAATTCTCGAACACTACGGATGTTTGAATTCCAAGAAATACTTTGACTGTTGGATATCCCAATATATCTTGAGTTCAAACGATTTCATTCTCTTTGTTCTTGTTGTGAAAAAAGCTAAAAACTTTAGAATAAAAAGTAATTGATTAACATACATAAAGATAATGAGATGTGGTATCACTACCTATTAGAAAACTATAAAGAAAGACCAAAGGATAAAAATGTTCTTAACAATTGAAAATTCGCTATTTTCACCGATCGTACTCTTTATTTACAGCATTGAGACTCCAAATATAAAAACAACAATGGACATAAAGTTAAAACTATACAAAAAGTATTTCATTTTTCGATAGAAATAAATCATAATGCTATTTTAGCGACATGAATATTGGCATCATTTGCCGCGTTGGCGCTTGAGTAGCAAGCATAGACTACCCGGATATTTAACTCCAAGATCTGTTACGGTTTGTAAGCCAATTATCCCTCCTTTTGTATTCAATGGATGTAGATAATGGTTATTTCTGTCACACACTATTATGATATTTATTTGTGTGACAACAATATCCATTGGATTGAATGGTGTTTATGATGTATTGACACTACTGTGACCTTCGTATATGAATTTTACACCACCAGATCTTTCTAAAGCGAATAAACGTCTTTTTAAATTTTCAAATAGATCAATTGCATAGATGTTATTATAAAGATCAGTGGATATTCCCCAGATAAAACTAAACATTTTTTTACCCTCTTTATTTTACTCAAACGTTAATTTTCGTTTGTTGTTTTCTTCGAATACGACAATTTGTCTGGTACAGATTCTGTGATTGGAAATGAAGACCCTGTTTCTCGTAGACCTAGGATTATCTCGTTGTTTTTATTGATATGTATACACAACATTACCATTGGTGAAGTGCTTAGAACTTTTTTTTCTCTCCGTCAGTTGATAAAATGTTCAACTCAGAACCATGGCGTTGTCCGTAGTATATTTCATCTTTACTGCCGAGTGCAAAATCTGTACAATCTACATTTAATTCCTGTAATAACTTTATTGATTTTTTCAATAACCGAATAATGAAAAACTTATATCCTCTATTTGTTGTATGGTACGAACAGGAAATTGTGTCCTCGCCAGAATATTGGATTTTACCGAAACAAACAAAATCTGACGGATACGTAGATAGTAGTGACGATATCACTGGTTGTGAAATTTGTAGTGATCCAAATTGAACAGACATGTCACCTTCCGCCTTTCCAACATCTTTTATGGAAATGATAGTATGTGTTTCGGACGATTTAAATCTGGGATGGACGCGTTCTTCACAGTTGTCACACATTAACAATACACAATCCATACATTTCCATTTTATGACGTTGGGATTGTCACAAAGCTGACAAGACAATAGCGACTGTGCTTTCCTGGTGGATGACGCCATTCCGCTTATAATTAACTCCTAAAAAATAATTGATAATGTATTTTTAACGTTGATTGATTGCATTGATTGTTGATTCTTAAAAGTCCAATACATATCAAAGATTCAATCTTCAAATATAAGATTAGATTGATAAGTCTTATTGGACGTTGGTATGATATAAAAAAAACACACAGTATAAGTTCTTTTTTTTTTTACCTTTTTATTGTTTGTTTATGTTAACTCATATAACGCTGGAAAATTAATCCCTTTTTTATAAAGAAGGGTAGTGTGGTTAATGAAATTTGTTTTTTTCCCGTTGGTGACTATAGCATATAGGAAAAAGACATCGCCAAATTTTATGAAAGAATAAGTATAATATGCAGTAAAAATATATGATTATTGAAAGTTCATCAACAGATTCAAAATCTCCGGATGAAAGTCATAATAATAAAAAAAAATCAAAGGAGTTTTCTTGTCCTGAATAGAGTGACAGAATTGAAAACTGAATGATACAGTTTCCTATAATAACTAATTCAGCATTTCGAATCCTAGTTGCGTACATTTCAACCATTTGTAAATCTAGAAAAAAATCTCAAACATTAGCATTCTATTGATAGATTATTTTTAAAATACATGAGTAGTAAATAAGAAAAATAACGTAGTAAAGTCAAACTGCTGTAGCAATATATGCCAAAATTTAAATAATTTTCTATTGTAAACATAGCAAATTATGATAAAAAAAATGTAATTTAAGCAGTTTGTACGATTACCAATAGCACTGTATAACAGAGGTCATAGAATTGACCAGGCTGACACCTTAAACAATGTGCATTGGTACAGAAAATTAACGTTCTCGAGATCAATTCTGATTTGAAATACTTTTACGAACCAGCAACGCCTGCATATGGAGTATTTATCTTCCAGTCGATACGGTATTCTAGGGCTTGCGTTTCCTACCACGATTTCTTTGATAGAGGGTTTATGCTTACAATGAGGGTATTGAACCAAGGGATCCAAGGGTGAAGTTTAAGGCATCACTTTAAAAGTTGTGGTATGAATTGCAAAGAACTGCATTTCTTTGAAGAATTTATAACATTATGTCCCAAAGTTAAAAGACGATTTAAGCCACATTTAACATATAAAGGTGAACATATTTGAGGAACACGAAACAAAACATTTTACAAACCAAACAAACGAGGAATGGTACAGGTTTTATTCAGTTTTGAAATACATGTGTAAGTGTTTGAAATTTAAAAAAAAAGGAGTTGATTTAAAACTGTCCTTTGAAGAAAATTACAATTACGCTAGTCTAATTTAAGACTGACAATGAAAAATCGGACTCTTTTGCCATTGATATATCATTCAAAATCATAGAAAATTTAATCCTTTCAGAGCCATAGGAACTGCTGCAAATTAAGGCAACAATAGTTTACCGATGTTCAAATCTCATACATGAATTTAAAGGACAAATCATGGTTACAAATAAAATTGCATGAACTCCTATAGGAGCAAAACCAGTTGCGTCGACAATGTAAGCCTCTCCTGATATGTATGCATCACTACCATGCGAATAAAAAGTCACATGACTGAGTAAAAATGACACAATCGGTAACATTGCAGATCAAACGAATTTTATGGTATATAAAGATCTAAAACAACTGCGAAAACATGTCGTAAGTAAGTTGTGGAACAGACACATCGTATTGGTCAACCAATTCGTGATGGTGACTGTAAAAAGTATGTTGTGTCGATTTCAGTCGTTCTTCCTCATAACTTTTTTGGAGCAGGCTTTTTGTAACATACGTCATTATTTGAGAAATTTAAACGTCATACGGCATTGACCGAAAGTAATTTTTACAGCTGAGAAAAAGATCAAGATATAGAACAGACCTTGTTGTATCGGTAATATCCCTAATTTTAAGTTGATTGTTATATATTGGATGCCATAATTCACTAAAATTTGGGTTATTGAGTGATAGGACATCATCAATATATCTGAAAGTCAAATTTAAGAATTTTTCGAGATATTTGTTCGTTTTGTCTTTGAGAAGGCTCTGCATGCACGCTGCTTCATTTGAATGCAAAATCAGGTATGCAGTCGGATTGTACAATTTTGTTTTAAACTAGTGACGTGACGTAAAAGAAATTTGGACAATTTCAATTTGAGTCAAACGACATTTACATAAAAAGGTTTAGAAAAATGCTAATTGACACTGACTATCAAAACACAATGATATTTCATATCAAGCATTTTTTCTTTGACATATGGATGATATGATTTGTAGGTCACTTAAAAGTAAAAATAACAACTATGTTGTTTGTTTTGTTTCAATATTTAAACAACGATATGCATATGTTCCAATGTTTTGCTTTAATTTTATTGATTAACGTCTTTTTTTCAGAAAATCTAGATTTTAACATTTCAAGTTTTGTTAATTATTTGATCTATGCTGAATGATACGCAATGTTTCACAGTATTAGTGAGGGTTGCGATAATGGCTTATTAGTTATGGCTTTACATGCCTTTAGCACTTTAAAAATATAAGAATTAAATTCATTTTGCACCTTTTTTGGTACAATGAATGTTATAATGTTTTCTTTCAATTAAATACCTCCTACTTGGCAATAAAATGTTTCCCGTCATTTAAATATATAACTTAAATACTGAAAGTATGTTTTTAATTGAGACAAAGTATGCAATATTTTGATTCTGTTGACATATTTTTATGAAAAAAGGGTAAATTTACTAGTTTCATTTATACAGGTATATATATGACACATAATAATTAGAAAGATAATTTATAAACACGTTCTGCATCAGTGCACAATGCATTGTAAACAAAACGTAGTGCTTTGGAATATTATTCAGTTAAGCCTCTTACTGTAAGATCAGAAATCAAATGAATGTTAAGTAATGAAGTCAGAAGAAAATGTAAAAGAATCCTAGTAAATAATTTCATTAATCTTCAAATGTAAAACATCAGTTTCATTTTATGTTCCTTTTTTGGTGTTTATTGATAGAATTAAAACAGTTTTTAAAACGACGAAAATGAATATAAACCAATTTACTTCTGAGCCCACTACATCATTTCAAATTGACATGTGCTTGATCAGGTGCGGAACCAGGATTTTAAAAAACTGAGAACCCAGACAACAGTAGGATTGGGATTTGTAATAAATAATCCATAAGGAGGCGCCTGGCTCCTGGTCCCTGGCCCCCTAAATCTGCCTATGAGGACAATACTTAGACAATCATCTTTTGGACTTTTTACCTTTTTCAGTTGATAACTTCCTTGTTTATAATATGATAAATACTTCATCTGTTCAATTTTTTCCATTAAGCCCCTGAAATAATACCTTTAAACGGTAGACAATATGCCTTTACAGTACTAACGGTAGAGAACTACAACGGTAGACATCGTGCCTTTATAGTACTTACCGTAGTTGAGAGATCTACTGTAACTTCAACAAAGTTACTTTCACTTAGTGAAATCACACTTTTTCCACCCGTCGACTCAATACCTAAGACGGCCACCTTTTAACTTAAATTGTTATCTAAATTTTGACGATATGATATGTAAGGGTCCAAAGGGGTTAACAGAAACGAAAATAATGGCGAAAAATAAAGAATATAGACAAATCGGGTGATACAAAATGAATAATAGATAATAATGGACAAAATAAAGGAATAGAGAAAAATGGC